GTCTGATCTCTGCCTGGCAGCAATAGGAAAGGCAGGTCTGATCTCTGCCTGGCAGCAATAGGAAAGCCAGGTCTGATCTCTGCCTGGCAGCAATAGGAAAGCCAGGTCTGATCTCTGCCTGGCAGCAATAGGAAAGGCAGGTCTGATATCTGCCTGGCAGCAATAGGAAAGCCAGGTCTGATCTCTGCCTGGCAGCAATAGGAAAGCCAGAGGAGGTCAGGGAAGGTCTCTCTATGCTGATTCTTAATTCATGGAATAAAGTGCAATTCAATAAATGCCAGCTCCTTCTCTTTCTTGAAAAGACTTCAATTTTTTAAAAGCCTATGTCTCTTAAAATTAATATAGCATTAACTCTATTATACAACTCACATTTCTCTGCTTCCTTGACCCTTATACTAACCTAAATTACAATTCTGATCAAAACAGCATCCTAATGCAGCAGTAAACAATTGATAAAAAGAAGTAGAGACCAAGAAAGAGATTAGAATTGGAGGAGAAATGGTGCAGATCACATGACAGAATTTTACAAGGCCAATGACTGACTCACTGGAAACACCTATTTCAACCACAGAAATGATGATTAATATGGATATCATAAGATGAAAAACAAAAAATCAAGTGTGTGGAAGAGAAGATGGAGAAGCTCCTCCTTTCTCAGGACAAGGCCAGGAGCTGACTGCAGAACAGACCATCAATGCTCATATGTAAGTTCAATCGGGTTGAAGCTGAAGAAAACTAATACCTTACCTTCAAGAGTCAAAGTACAAAGTTTGAGTATATGCCACGTGAATGTAGAGATAATTTCAAGAACAGATTTTATGCACTGACTATTGACCAATAAAAAGAAGAGTTGTGGGACGACACCAAGTATATCATACTATAAAAATTCATTTAAAAGACAGGAAAAGGAAGGGCTACTAAAATGGATGGGAGAAGAGCCTCTGAAACTTCCTCTTGTACACATAGCTAAAGTGAATGAAAGATATGAGCATGTATGTAGCTGAAGAAAATATTTCAAAGGGCTGCTAGGAAAGACAATGTATTAGAATAAAATGTACAAAGACCTAAGAGTTAGAAAGCCAGAAAGGGAGAATAACGTCAGCATTTCTTAACCTAAAAGAACTGAAACAGAAATTCAAGCCTCCAATTGCAATATTGAAGTATTCTATGGGCCAAATACTGAACGTCCCTGAAAGCATCGACAAAAGGAGGGAATCGTAATATTCCCTGGGAAAATGTGCTGTAAAAGACCTCTTTAATTGTTAACAAGCAAAGATATCACTTTAAGGACTAAGGTGTACCTAACCCAAGACAATGTATTTTCAATCACTTCATCTACATGGTAAAGGTAAACAAATTTTGGAAAACAGAAAAACTGATGCACTTGAATTATGGAGTTGGTGAAGATTTTTAAATGTATCATGGACTGCCAGAAGAGCAGAAATATCTGTCTTGGAAGAAGTACGCCCAGAATGCTGAGGATGGTGACACTTACATACTTTGAAAGGAGAAACACATGGAAGAGGGGAATCAACTAAAGAGCACTTTAGGATTACCCCACGAGCTAAGATCAAAGGATCAACAAATTACACAAAGGAAGGGAAGAAGTAAACTACAGTCATCGGCTTTGTACATATTATATAGAGAGATACAGATATGTAGAAACACCACTACTCACTGACACTAAGTAATTCTGACTCATGGCAATCCTATATAAGGTTTCTGGGACTATAACGCTATAGCAGAACAGATAAGTCTCATCTTTCTCCTGTGGAGCGGCTGGTGGGTTTGAACCACAGACCTTGAGGTTAGTAGCCCAACAGCACCCTCAGGGCTCCTTGTATATGGACAATGATATCTATATATTTTTCTTAAAAAATCCGCCCATTCATTTGTACTACATAATTACCTGTACATGCCACTTAATCAACTTTCACTTAGAATTTTTCAAATAGCCTCCCAACATGTCTTCCTGTTTCGTAGCTACCTGCCCCTAATTAATATCATCTGTTTATGTATCCATAGCATCATTCACCCTTCACCCTCACTCTCAGCAAATAAGAGCTTATTATATTCACTGTTCCATACTTTGATGTTTAAGTGATCTTACACATCTTTTTACATCCACATATCCACTTTTTCAATGATTACATACTATTCCACTAAACCGATATAAATACTTTATTTAATGGTAACCCCCCCATCAATCACCACATTTGAAATATGGTGCTGGTAAAGAATATTCAAGGTACCTTGAGCTGCCAAAAGAACAAAAAAACCTATCTTGAAAGAAGTATGGCCAGAATGCTCCTTGGAGGCAACGATGGCAAGACTTCATCTCAGATACTCTGGATGTGTAAGGAGAGACCAGCTGGAGAAGAACATCATGCTTAGAGGGGCAGAGAAAAAGAAGAAAGTCCTCAACAAGACAGACTGACACAAAGGCTGCCACAATGGGTTCCACCATAGGAACAACTCTAAGGATGGCGCAGGACCAGGCAGTGTTTCACTCTTTTGTGGATACAGTCGCTATGCCCAACTTGACGGCACTCACTCAAAGGCACCTAACAATAATCCCATTGAAAGGCATTCACAATGTTTCCAAAATTTGCCTACAAGTTTGAGAACTCCTTTGTCAAATTTTAAAAATCATTTCTTTTTTTACAGTAACCATATTTAGAGTAAGGAAGAAGATCTGAACAGCCTTTCTATCCAAAAACAAGCTATGTCTTTCTATTTATTGAAGTCTCTCTACAGAGTTTTAAATGTTTTCTTCAGATAGTTTGTGTAAAAGTCTTAAGTTTATCCCTTCGTATTATATATTTTTAATTACCGCAGATCCTTTCTTTCCCTTATATGCATTAACTGTTTTTATATGAGTAGCTGTTGAGGCTTATGTGTCAATTTTATAACCAGCCACCTGACTAAATTCTGGTTTCTAATAGTTTTAATTTTTTTATAGATTTTAATTTTTTTTCCTCAATAACATGCCCCTTGTGTTAGGCCAGGTTGACTACAAACTCCAGAGGGAAAAACACCAGTGACACTCATATATGTGTAAGAAAGAGCTTTATATTAAAAAGTAATTATAATATCAAGTATATAAGTAATTATAAACAATATCAAGAAAGCATCCCAGCCCAGTCAAACACAAGTCCATAAGTCCGATACTAGTCCATAGGTCACTCTTCAGATTCACATGCAATGATCCAGAACGCAGGAAGATCAGAGATTGGTGGGTGCAGTTACGTGGATCCAAAGGCAGTAGACACATGACAGGGACCTGGCAGCTCTCTGGGTGGCCAGCAAGAAGAAGTGGGAGGGGGCAGGGTGCGCAATCCCCAGGGTCTCATACTCTTATAGCATCAAGGAGTCATCACGCTGCAACCCGACAGGGTTGACTCCACCCCTGACTTTCACACATCTTCAAGTTGACATAAAATTATCTAACTACTACCATACCCCTTGTTTATTTTTTTACCTTATTAAACTAGAAAATACTTGTAAAAAATGAGCAACTACCAGGGTATGATAATAGGCATCTTTATCATGTTCTTCAATGGGAATGCTTGTAGTATTTAAATATTTTAATGCAAGGGCAATCCTTACATTAAGTATTAGTGTGCTCCTTTCTAAATAAGAGTTTAAGAATTCTGGAATTGTTAAATTGTACCAGCCGTCCTTGACTAAAGGATTTTTCTGTAATAAAATGATGATCACAGGGAAATATCTATGACTTATAACAGAAATTACAATAGCAGCATTATGCTTAGCTTTAAAGTCTAAAACTTTTTGTGTTCTCCAGAAAAACAGCATGTTCATAGCATTTTACCCTTGACTGCCAACTGAATAGAGACAATACTGCCCTTGTTAGATCATGAGTATATCAGATAGACTTTCAACATTGTTTCATACTTTCTAATTTCTAAATAATCTCTAGTTTGCTTTTGGTTGGAAGTATTTAGACCATATTGTTAAAACTTATTCAGAGTTTTTATTCTTTTAAACCTGGTTGGGTTAATTATACCTGAAAAATAACATCAGAATAAATATAAACTCAATAGACATGCGATAGACTACATGTTTATAAGATGTCAGGGTTGTGGGTAATTTCATAGAAATAAACTTCTAAGAGCAGACTACTTAGAAACTACAATGGTACGTGGAGGTCGTACGGCATGGGGTTGAAGTAACTTGGATCAGAACTAAAATGTGGAAGTCAGAATACTGGCAGTACAATTTATTAGTGATAAGACCTTGGGTCTAGTACCTAATATCTCTATAAATCATTATCACTTGTGAAACAGTGATAGTAGCACCTACCTTCCAGAATTGGTAGAGGTATTAAAAAGGTAATTCATATATAGTACTTAGAATACTCCTTGGCAAATCTTAAGTGTTCAATGAGTGTTAGTTGTTATTGGCCACCATTATCATGGGCATAATCACAATTTTTTTTAATTAATCAATTTATTGGGGGGCTCTTACAAATCTTCTAACAATCCATCATTCAATACACAAGTCTTTTTATACTACACAGAAGTTCATTGTATTTTGAACTTAAAAGGTATCAAAATTAGAAATGAATTATACATTTTTCTTTTACACACACATAGTAATTCCAAATCTGCTGACTATTCTGGGGTATTAGACTTGAAGACTAATATTGCATCAATATTTCTTGTTTAATTAAAAATTATTCAAATATTAACAGCATTGGCCACAAACAGCTAACACAAAGAACTTCATCAGAACATAAGAAGAATATCAATTCCAAAAACCAAACCCACTGGCTTGAGTTGATTCCAACTCACAGCAGCCCTGGACAGCATTTCTGAGATGGTTCATCTCGATGGAAGCAGCTAGCTTCATCTTTCTCCTGTGAAGCAGCTGATGCTTTGGAACCAAAACCTTCCAGTTAGCAGTCCAATGCTTTAATCAACACTTACCCTCAAATCAGGGGAAAAGTTGTCTGCAGACGTGGAAATGGAATCCGATGATACGACAGAAGCTGATTTTGTGTGCACTGAATTCTCCGAATGAGAAGTAGAGGCACTACAAAATAGAAAAGTACAGTATGTTTCAAAACTTGGGATTTAAAGGAAAATTTCATGAATTTTGTTCATTAACAATCGATTATTTATTCACACTACCATTTGGCAATTAGCTAGCTCTACTTGGCCTGCTCAATCTTGACTGATAGACTGTAAATTCTCTATTCCTTCATGTGCCAATAAAACTGTTGGGGGAAAAATAAAAATAATAAAAATGAATTGTTAGGAAAAAATAATGGAATGTTTACTATTACAAGAAGAAGAAATATATATTCCACTATTGTGCTTCTTACAATAAATATTTCAGAATACATTTACTTATGATTATCTATGGAGAACTAGATCTAATAGTGAGACTTGTTTCAGGAGCTCTGGGCTGGAACTGTGTAAATTCTGTTATCAACCTTGCTTAAAGAGACAGAAATGACATCAAGAAATATAGGCCAGATTTTACTTACAATTTTCATTGGTTTCATAATTAGTGGTTTTATAAGAAAGTATATTGTCTTTTAAAATACACTTGAAAATAATATATTTTAGCTGAGCAATGATTTCATTTTAAATATCTTACATTTCAAGGTTTAGCTGTAATACCCAATATAAATAAATTTTAAAATAAAATAAAATAAAAATACCCAAAATAAATAAATGATTTGCTTAGTAATTCTTCTTTCTAAATAAATAATTTAAGCAGGCTGAACTGGAACAAATATATAAACTCAACTGACTCAAGATCATCCCCCTGTTGTCCCTGCAACTTTTAATTCTTTAATTAGTACATGTACGCTAACCTTGTGGCCACCGTGCACTGGAGCGGTCTTTAGCTGCAATGGCCTCTCTGGATTTGGAGCCCTTCTTGTCTGACAAGGTAAGCAATTCCAGGGCATGGCTCCAGGGTCACCTTGATACGTGCACATTTGACAGCACACTGGTTTTTCTTTAGTTTTCCTTCGTAAGTCTCTTCCCACATTTAAAGACCATATGCTATCTCTGAGAGTTTACCTACCTTCCACATTACAAGAAACTGTCTTCACATCTTAGTCCTTGCAATCTAGGAACCTCTGCCTCCATTAATTCCAGAAAATAGCTTTCTCTAAATACTAATGACCTCCTGAAGAAAAAAAGTTATTTTCTGATTTCCAATTCTATAAATTCTCCTCTCCCTTCACTAACACATTATTTGGTTTACCACCAGCTCTCAGTTTAATTTAATCAGTACCTTTTTAACTCCTACTGTATGCAAGACATTCCTGTTCTGGGTAGAGAGATAATAAGATGTTAGTTCCTTTGTGAGCTTTCCCTCCAATGAAAGAATTTAACACAAACGCCAAAACATAAAGTAGAACAAGGTAAATGAGTAAGGTAGAAACAAAGCCCCTGAGGATTTGGAGGCAGACAAGCTCCTGCTGTACTGTTGTCAGGGGCTATTGATGCCACACCATGCTCCAGTGTGTCCATGGGACTACACCTACTTTGCTCTCCTTTGTTTCAGTCTTATAATTCTGTTAGATTTCACGATACATAAATACAGATTTGTTGCTTTCCTTTAGAAGTTAAAAATTAACCCATCTCCATTTGATGGACAGAACTCACAACATTTGCTGTTGGAATGTGGACCCACCCCAACGCAAAAAAATACCAACCCACTTTCAAGTTGTTTCCAACTCATAGAGACTCTGTGGAATGGAATATAACTTCCCCTTTGGGGTTCCCAGTTGTTAATTTTTACTGGAGCTAAAAGCGTCAACTTCTCCCACACAATGACTATAGCATTCGAACTTCTGACCTGGTTAGCTGCTAAAAAATAATGCACTATACCACCAGGACTCCAGATACCCCCTACTTATAAAAGAGAACAAATCCAGATAGCTCCATATGATCCCCTCCCACAAGCCTTGCCCATAAAACGTTCCTTGATCTATTGCTATAATTCACAGATTTTGTTGGAGAAGATCCACTCTGTCCTCCTTGGGTACTTAAATCAGTGAAGACTCTTGCTCCTTCTGGCTCTGACTTCTGAAATAGGCTTACTCTTGGGAGGCTAGGCTGATGGACGCTCCTTTGCGTCAACATTACCTGGGCAGTCCAAGTCAAGGCAACCCCAGCAAAGCAACCCCATTTGGTACTAAGGAGAATTGCTCCATAGAGAATTGTTCCATAGGATTTTCTTGGCTAAGATCGTGACAAAAGCAATTCACTAGGGCTTTTTTTCTATGGAGCTGCTGGGTGGGTCTGAACTGCAAACTTGTGGATTAGCTAGCTGTCAATTGCATGGTGCTTGTACCACTCAGATACCTGAAAAAGTCTTAATTTAGGGGATCAAGAAAGGCTTTAAGCAAGTAGGTAGCATTTTATGTAAGGTAGAAAGTAGAAAAGCTCAACACATGGGAGAAAAACCCAATTTCATGAAGTAAAGGAAATTTTGAGAAAAGAACAAGGAAATGGAAAATTCAGGGCATTTTAAAGTTATTCTTAGGGGTAGATCTTTTTGTTCAGATTACAGGATCGTTACAAAGCACAAGTAGAGATAAACCTGAAAAGGTAGGTGCAGATGAGAATGTAGAAAGTCCTGAATAATAAATTATTTATTTCAGTGGTAAACCACTGAAAGTTTGTGTGCTTTAGAAAGGTCAAAGGAGAAATTAATAATAGCTAGTAAATCTGAAGACTACTATAATACTCAAGTCAGAGATACTGAAAGACTGAACTAGCAGTAAAAATGAAATTGAGTGGATGCACGGGTCATTGTGGAGCAAGTCAACAGAACTTGGCAAATGATTTGCCGTATCAAGCGGGAAACGTGAAAAGGCAAAATACTGACCTGGAAACTAGTGGCACCAAATTAGGAAGCAAAGAAGAAAAAAGGTAATAATAAATTTCATCTTGGAATTTTTAGGATTAAGAAGATTTTACCTGGTCATTCATTTACCCATCCATCTAACCATCCATTCTGGAATGTTGACTTACTGCTTATTTTGTATAAATGGGTTGGAAGACATATGGTAAAAAAAAAAAGCACATCTATGAATTAATTGAGCTGAATGCCTTAAGAGTGTTTTTTAAAATTAAGGAGGAAAAAAATGGCATATACTTACACATTACGCTAGGTTAAAGAAAACAAGTATTGTTAGAGTTCCAGTTCATTACAAGTATGGATTTATTTCTAACAAAATGTGTTTAAACATGTGTCCGTGATCAATACATGGCTGCAGAAAAGTTCTCTACAAAATAGTTATTTTAGTCTCCTTAGGGTGCCTTCACAAACAAGGTCCAATCAAAACAGGCGCTTCCAGGGTACCTGCTGAGCCAGTTAATTTCAAAGCAGAGAGCTCCTCTAAAGGTTATGGTAATTGTGTTTTGGGATTCTAAAGAGTTCATATCTTTTTTTTTTTTTTAACATTTTATTAGGGGCTCATACAACTGTTATCCCAATCCATACACACATCAATTGTGTAAAGCGCATTTGTACATAGTTTCTCAAAACATTTTCTCTCCATTTAAACCCCCGACATTAGGTCCTCATTTTTCCCCTCCCTCCCCGCTCCCTCTCCCCGCATGAGCCCTTGATAGTTTATAAATGGGTATTTTGTCATATCTTGCCCTGTCCGACGTCTCCCTTCACCCACTTTTCGGTTGTCTGTCCCCCAGGGAGGAGGTCACACACAGTTCCATGTAATCGGTTCCCTCTTTCCTACCCATTCTCCCTTTACCCTCCCTGTTTTGCCACTCACACCACTGGTCCTATAGGGCTCATCCATCCTGGATTCCCTGTATTTTCAGTTCCTATCTGTACCAGTGTACCTCCTCTGGTCTAGCCAGTCTTGCAAGATAGAATTCGAGTCATGGTAGTGGGAGCGGGGAGGAAACCTTTAGGAACTAGAGGAAGGTTGTATTTCTCATCATTGTTACATCGCACCCTGACTGGCTCATCTCCTCCCCAGACCCCTCTGCAAGGGGAAGGAGTTCATATCTTGATGGATTTTCATAAAGTACTCAGGACAACTGCAATCACAGTCTTATTATGAAAAAGTTTTAAGAAAATGGAAAAGTGCATTGGTGAGACAAAGTCCAGGAAACTTGTGTCAAGGAATTTCCCATGTAACTGTTTCAAGGTGTCTTATAAAATTCCTCTTGGGAAAAAGATCAAAATTGTCAATCTACAGCCCCGACATTGCCCTTTCAGACTTGTATTTGTGCTCTAAACTAAAAGAAACAGTGTTGTGAAATGTGTGAAAGGGCAGATGGAGGCCCATAAGGGAGAGAAGAGAACACAGGGTAGGACAGAGCAGGGGGACCTATGGTCCATTAAGATGGCCCTTCCATCCAAGGTTCCCTATGAGACATATTACAGTTCTGGACGTGGCTATGGTCTTATTTTGGAGGCTGTTCTCTGCTAGACTTGAGACCTGAACCACACCCTGTGTTTCCTTGGAGGCATCTTTAAGACTCCACTTTAGTAGAGGAAGGTGCCCTGGTGGCTGACTGGTCAGCAGTTTGAAACCACCAGCAGCTCCAAGGGAGAAAGACTGGGCTTTCTACTCCTGTAAACAGTGGCAGTCTCAGAAACCCATTGGGGGTCGCTGTGAGTTTGTCTGCTGGTTTGCTTTTTAGTACAGGATGTGCATGAATCAGAACTGACAATGGTTTGGTTTGGTTTGGTTTTTGGTGTTTCAGTTCCTTGGGGACTTTAATTTTATACTGGTAAAGGGTTTCACTTGAAATTTTATCTTTTGTGGGGCATAAAATGCTGGTTCTAGCCAACATCACCTCATCTGAAAATCTAAACCCTGATTTCTTAACTAAGCTTTGAGAGAAGCAAGAAGATCTATTGATGACTTTGATTGTGACTTTGGGACATTTCTGGCTTCTGGGTCTGGACCGTACATTTGGTTCAGCTCTGCCTGGCACTCAGATTTGGGACAGAACAGCACTCCCCACTACATGAAACATTTCCTCCAAGTTGTTTGAGTTTCTGTGGGACATTGCAGGGAATCACAGAAC